AGGCCAGAAAAGAAGATTATTTAAGGGAGGAGATCAGTGAGCTTCAGCAGGTAGGAAAAATGTTTTTCTATGAGAAGTAAACTTAATATAACTAATTGTGACCAGAACAGGTTTCATCTAATATTTTGCTCATTTTCTTAATGTTTTTCAGAGGCTACAGGAGGCGGAGACCAGGAACCAGGAGCTCAGTCAGAGTGTTACCTCGGCCACACGGCCGCTTCTGCGACAAATTGAGAATTTACAGGCATCGCTGGGAGGACAAACTGCAACCTGGGAAAAACTAGAGAAGAACATTTCTGACAGGCTGGGTAAGGCTAGTGTATTAATTAACTAATTGAAGATTTGTAAAACAATCACAAAAATACAGATGTGTCCATAAAGTCGGAGTGGTTTTGTTTTTGCGGGTGTCTGAACAGCTGATGCCCAGGCACAGCTGGCTGTTGCTGTGGAGAAGGAGCGATCGGCGTCTGAAGAACTGTTAACCATCAGGTCTCAGCTGACCTCCCTGGAATCCCAGAATTCTTTGCTCCGGCAGGAAAAAGCTAGAGTTTTGGCTCAACTAGAGGCTGAGAAAAGCAAGAGAGAGAAACTAGAGGATGATAACAGCAGGTAAACGTCTATAAAGGCTGAGAAACCATGTTTTTTTTTCTCAAGTTACATTGTAATATTACATTAAATCTGCTCACTGTAATGTTAAGGGTGGTGTATTTATCTGCTTGTTTGATTCTTGCTTAATGTTTCGTTTCTGTGAACTGGAACCGTACCTTGTAAGGCACAGTATAATGAAATTCTACCCAAAGTGTTTTATCTCTATTTTGGCATTTCATATTTTAGAAGTAGTTTACTCCTCCAAGGAATTAAACTTGCCTTGTTTTATGCCCTATTTTATCTGATAAAATAATATAAACAAATAATGCTGAGGAAATCTGAAATATGGATGTAAATTCAGTGTTGCCCAGAGACTAGAATAAGCAGGTTTTACACAGCAGTGATTTAAAAACACACTTATTTTCCAACATACAGTTATTATATCATTTATTTTTAAGTTAGATGTCATTTTAGATTTTCCAGAGCATTTTCCCAGCTGTATAGAGCTTAGAGTAAAACAGCGCTTCCCAACCCCATGTGTTGCTGGACACTGCCAGGCAGCTGGCTGAAAAATGTGACTGTTAAAAGTCTTGTGGAAACTGAAGGAAAATCAAACTCACTGAACTAAATAGGATGTTTAATATATACTTTTTTTCTCTCCTTTATGTTTCAAAATCATATAAACAATTAAGAAATAACAGTACGAAAAACCTGCTTTTCTGATTTAATTCAAAGTATGTTTATTACTTTTTTAAGTTCTATAAATACTGTGACATTATTTTTGTGTTTACAGGTTATTATAATGAAAAAGGTTCATTTAGCAGTAATTTCCTTTCCTGTGGTCAGCAATAGACACAGAAATAGTTGTTTTTTAAATTGCAAATGCATATCTTTTCTCTTTTGGACATTGCCTGGCTCTTCCCTCACATCTATCTATTACCTTTAGAGTATTGGCTTTTAAAAGACCTGGTTATTACTGAATTATAAAAGCATACTTAGGTACAAACACAAACCTATTTTCTGTCAAAATATACTGAATCGTACCATCTTTATTTATGTAGCAGTTTAACCTGGGTCAACAGTGGGCTGTAAATATCCTTGCAAACAGTAAAATTAATAAGAAGAGACAAGTTAAACAGACAAGGTATAATAAACAATTTAGTTGGAATAGGGTGAAAAGCTTTAAATACTCCAAAGATGCAGGTTTGTAAACCGCCATCAGGGTTTTTCAACTCGCTACAAATGCGACCTGCTGTTAATGAAGAATCTTTTAAATGTGAACATGCAAACCACTATGGTTTAGTCAATACATCATAGATTTCCCATGAAAAACTGGAAGGCGGGGGTTTCAGAAAAACCCACGGCCTTTGTTGTGCAGGCTGCTAGAGCTCCTTAAAACCCCTCCCCCTCCAGTGAGAGCGAGCTCAGCCACGTGGCCGTTATATTCTCTGTGGAGGTGTGGCTCCACAACCGGGCCAGTGGCGCAATGGATAACGCGTCTGACTACGGATCAGAAGATTCTAGGTTCGACTCCTGGCTGGCTCGATTTTTTTCTTTTGTTTGGTTTTGTTGGTATATTTCTGCCTCCATAAAAGCATAAACAGAATGCTGTAAAACAGGCACAATATTAAACTTCTCAATATGACACAGAACAGGATGTCCTGTTCAGAAAGAATGTAGTGAATGTGGTTTACTCTATGCCACACTGCTTTGGTCTCAAAGGTTACTCCATTCATTTGAAAAGGGTGAATGACTTTCTAATGATCATTTTTAATTATCTTAATCCAGGGAGCATGCTGAACTGACAAACTTAAAAGGAGAGCACAGTCGCTTGCTAGAGGAAGTCAAGAAAGAAAAGGTAAGGCAGAAAATTCATCTAATTTTGTTTCCTTGCAGAACAATTCCTCAAATATATGTTTTTCCCTTTTTAACCAGCTACTGCTAACCAACCAGCTTGAGATGGAGAAAATGAAGGTGGAGCAAGAGAAGAAGAAATGCTATCTAGCTCAAGAAGCACTAAGAGAAAAGGTTGAATAGAATGTTTTTCATTTAATCTGTGCCATTTTTGTTTTGAGTTTATAGATCCAAATATAATTCAATTTCTAATCAACCAGGAGCGGAAAGCCTTGACGCACTCTGTTGGAGAACCCCCGGCGTCATCGACACCATCCTTATCCCGCTCCAGCTCCATTAGTGGGGCAGAAAATGTACTCCACACTTCTGTTCTGTCCCAGGTGCTCCTTGCTTTCCTCATCTCGCTTTTCTTTTTATCACGACCAGTTAGCATTGTGTAATAATGAATGGATTTTTCCCCCTCTCCTTAGGATGACTCTTTGGATCACTCGCTGGGAACCATGACCATGTCTATGTCAATGAGTGGAACCAACCTGTATGAAGCAGCCAGATTGTCTGGAGGCTCCAGCATCATAGAGAACCTCCAGTCGCAGCTTAAACTGAGAGAAGGGGAAATAGCTCAGTTACAGGTAATATAGAAAGTGGAACAGGTACAGCAAAGGTCATCAGTGATCAGGTGGGAGATTTAATTCTCCTTTGTTGCAGCTTGAGATCACTTCTTTGGAGAGAAGTCGCTCAGTGATGGCAGAAGAGCTGGTTCGGCTTACAAATCAAAACGATGAGATGCAGGAGAAAGTCAAGGACATCCCAAAGTTGAAAGTTCTGCTAAAGGTAAAAAACAAACATTTTTAATTTTATTTTATCATTAGATAATCATTCAGGACTGTTGCTTTACCCTGTGTTATTTTTTAATCTTAAGTACTATTATGCATTAATGTGTTGGGAGGAAGAAAAGAAAGTTTATTTCTGTTTTTGTGGATTTCAGGATCTGGAGCAGAGACACAACACCATCCTGCAGATGTATGGAGAGAAGGCAGAGGAAGCAGAGGAACTTAGACTGGATCTTGAAGATGTCAAAAACATGTACAAAACCCAGATTGATGAATTACTGAAGAATCAGAAATAAAATATTTTCACTGTTTGTTTTTTTTCCCTTTTCTTACTGGAGTTCTGACTTGACTCTCAGAATCCCTTTTTTGGCCATGAATTCATTCTTCATGTTTGCCACAAATACATTCATATAACAACAAAGAGGAGAAATTTTAAATTATGAGCTGATTTCTTTGTTTTTATTATTCAACGTTTTATTTCTGTTATTCTAAACTTGATTAAAATGAGGATAGTTTTGTGAATTAATGTTACAGAGTAGCTATGAAGGAGCGTCACAGTTGTCGATTAATGCATCATTTTGTTGTAATGTTATAGTTTTTCACTGTATGACGGGAAACCAATTTATTTGCACTGTACAAATTGTCATAATTTGCCATTTATATTCCTAAAAGTTTAATGATTATATAAGAAACTATTGTATAGATAAATGCTGGTGTTAACAACATTGTATAAATCACGACACATGACGTAGACCTAAAGGTGATCTCAGGTGCTGATGGTTTGGTTTGAAGCTGTATACTTGTAAATTAATAAATGTTTATTGGGTGGTGGAGAAATTTTATTCTTAATTTTTTAAGTAAAAAAATAAAATCTACATTTAGGCTGCTTTCAGTCAAACATGCATGATCATAGAGAAATGTGAGAAGTGTAAACCATTGAGCAGGATGGAAGGCAGAGTAGAATGAAAAAAGTGAGTTTAAAATTACTGCACAGTGATGCATTTTGGTAAAGTTGCCCTAACAGCCATTAGACACTATCAACATGCCAACCAGTTTTCAGAGGCATAAAAGGAAAAAGCTTTTTCTCTCAGTATAATAGAGCTATTGTTTTTCAAAATGGGACTTTAACTGAAATTACTTACTGCAGTTAAATGAAACAAAGGATCTTCTAAGCACACTTTACCTTTTGGATATAAAAATCCAAGGAATCAATATTATACCTACTGTTCGGTGAAGGATCTGTAATACTACGGGCCTATATATCTTTCATATCTAATGTTTCATGATTTTTCTTTTTTTAAATACTGAGATATTTTGAATAAAATTATTTGCTGCATCTAACAGCAAATTAAACACAGGTGTTAAATGATAACTGAAGAGGAAAAGAAACCCAAATCCCATAATGGCTGAGAATAGAATTTGTTTGACAAGCCTATAAAAATGTAAAAACTCAATACTATAAAAAAAAAAAAGATAAAATCATCCCTATTGTACAAATGGCATATTTGTTTAACTTAAATATTACATGCTTATTTTATTTTTGCAATTTTGTTATTCTGAAGTATCTATACTCTGATTTTTTTCTTTTTTTTTCATTTGTCATCATTGTCTTGGTTTTCACAATCTTTTAACACCCCTGCTTTAAAGACTCAGCAGAATTGAGAAAATAGCTTCCAAACATGAACACGTGGCGCCATCTGGTGGCCGATTGTTTATATTACTCCCTGTTAACGTGCAGGTTTCCGGTGTTATGGCGACCACCGGCATCACCGCTGCTTCACTCACGAACCTCAGGCTGTGCTTTTAGGTAAAGCGACTGTCAGGCAAACCTTTATAAGATTTACTTAGATAAACCCTGACTTAAATAGGTTGTTGTTTTAGAAAGGACAGTTTCTTGGCAGTTCTCTACATTTTCTGTGTTGTTCTTGTGATGAATTGACGGCGCGCGGTAACTTCACGTTAAACGCATTGTTATGAACCAGAGCTAGACCTTAGCTATTTCTACATTTTTATTTTAGCTTTTAAACATGCTTAACGTTTCCCGCCGCTTAAATAAATCTCTGACATAACGCTGTGTTCATTGTATCGCCGGTAATGAAATATTTTACATTTACTTAATAAATGTCCACGTTGTTTGCGAAGTTCAAAGTTATTTTATTAAATATAACCCGTGAAAATGAGGCTTGCGAAAAGTTTGCCACTTGCAGAAAGGATACATTGTGTTTAAACTATTTTTTTCTGTATAAGGGATATATATATATATATATATATATATATATATATATATATATATATATATATATATATATATATATATATATATATATATATATGTATATATATTTATAATTAACTTTCTAAGTGGCTGCCAGTTGATTTTTTTACATCTTAAAGAATATTTTGTCGTTTTACAACTAGATAGGCTTTTAATTTATCCTTATATGATGATTAAAACACAGTTGCACATAAGAACTTAAGATAAAATTTTGCTTTTTATTAAAAAAACCAAACCAAAACATAAAAGGTAAGTTTAAAAAGTGTGTTTGTTGTCCACTTTTTTCTTAGAGTTGCAAATTCCTCATTCATTCCTTAGTAAATTAGCAGCATAAGATCTCTGCTTGTAAAGGTGGCACGAAACAGTAATTAATGACAAAGCTTAAAACAGTGTTCTCAGTTCTCCTTTACCAGTGGTCTTTCTTACTGTTATTGAAACATGTAAAGCTTTTTCCACCCATTGTTTTAAAATCTGCAGTATAAACAGTCTCCTACTTTTCCCTTCCTTCAGATATGAAACCGTTCTACAGCCATTGTGGGAAAACACAATGGCCTGCTGCTTTACCAAAGGTTACTCTATATATTTCAAGTCATCGGTCGATGACTTTGTTATAGCTGATTTGGACTCTTGTGTCCTTGTTATGATTGCTCACAGAGCACAACCGTTAGAATGAGGTCAGCTTTATTTCCTGCAACAACAAGACCTGTCCTTATGTGAAGAAAATATCGTCCTGGAGCTACGTTCCCACACGTTTGCCTGTGCCCACATGTTCCTGCTCTGTGGTGTGTTGCTCTCCATGCCGAGATCACAAGGAGCAAGTCTGAGTATCTTTTTTTTTTCCCCTCACAGTGTGTTGGACAGACCGGCGACTGTTTCATATGTCTCTGTCCTTCTGACTATGCTGCTCTTGGTAGCACTGGGCATCGTGTTTTCGCCTCCCATGGTCAAGGTTGGGAAGGCTGAAACCACCAACCACAAACCAGCTTCGCCCCTGTTGAACTACAGCAGGATCTCTCTGCCACCGGAGCACCTACCCTACTTTCTCAGCAACAACAAGAGGGTCGCCAAATTATGCCGCCAGGATCCACTCTGCCCTTTTAAAGTAAGCTATCGGCTCCATCTCTTCCTTCATTGTTTTCCGCTTTCAGTGCATCTTGTATGGGGGAATGTTGGCCCAGTGGTTAGAGCAGTGCACTTGTGCTCTGAGAGGTTGCTAGTACCCAGTTCGATCCCCACAGCCTGCACTCTGGGTGCCTGAGCAAGACCCTTAACCCCACACTGCTCCCTGGGCGCCACACAATGGTAGCCCACTGCTCCTCATAAATTTCTCCAATGTGAGATCAATAAAATTCAATTATAAATAATCATGTAATTTTTTTTTGAGATTTCCTCGTTAAAGAATGTTTCAATGTATGTGTTGTTTTTTTATTAATTAAAAGATGAAGTGCTGTTAAAAAATATCTAATTTGCATATTTCTGCTGTTTTTTTTCTTACTTTGTCATGAATATTGTTAAAGAAATGATTACCCGATTAGAACCTGCTGTATTGAAATGATTTAACCGACTGACAGGATAAGGTAAAACAGGTGAACTGGGCCTCATGTGAAAAAGTAATTGCCCCTCGACCCTACTGAATCATCCTTGACAGCAGCAGCTTCAATTAACTCTTAAATAAAAACTGTTAAGGAGTCCTTTACATCGCTAAGACAAGAATGCAACCCATTTTTTTTCACATAAATGTTTAAGTCAGGCTGAATTGATGTATATTTGAGTATGAATGATCTGATTAAGTACACACCACAGTGACTTCATTAGATTAAAATCCAGAGTTAGACTCAGCATCTCCAAATCCTTCATTTTGACGCTTAAAGCCAATCAGAGGTGTACGCCTGTGTTTTTAGGTCATCATCCTCCTACTTCCAAATTGTTATGCAGGTTTACTTCAAATGTTAAGCATTGTCTTTATAAAATAATTTAGTAAATTAGACTAGTTTATACCCATCTCTGCACATTTCATGGCTTAACAGAAGGATCTAATTTTCCAACAAATGTTAGCAATTTCTCTACTTTTTATCTGTTAGGGGAATGATGGATACATGCCTGCTTGGAATAGCTTATTGTTTCTTAATGTTCCAGGATGCTTTGCAGAATCCATCAGTCTGTTGGGGCTATGAGAAAAACTGTGATGCAGAGAGACGCTTCAGTTACCCTGTCTGTACCAAGGCTAACTCTGGATGGTATTGCTTTTAAAATATCATTCTTGCACCATATATTTGACACTAAATCGTATTCTGTATTGTTGCCTCAAACTGAACATGTTCTTTATGCATATTCTTGCATTTTTGACATTTATCGTGTTTGTGTTTCCTCTGATCTGCCTAAATCTCCAATGTGTTAGGGCGCGTTCGCTGGATGCAGCCCAGGAGCTTTTCTGGAAGCAGGCTGATTTTGGTTACGTCAAAGAGAGACTCTCTGAACTCAAAACACTCTGCAAGGCCAGGGAGCCGGTAAGTCCACTCATTTCCTCAGTTCTCATGGGCTTTCTGAGTCAACAGGAAAAAACAAAACAAAAACAACAGGTCCAAAAATAAACTAATGCTTCAACAAAAAGACAGCTGGCCAAATGTATTTCACTGTTGCAGAAATCAAATGGAAGGATTATTAATCATAATTACTTTTTTATCACGCTTTATTCCCCAAGGGGGACTCTTTATTAAAATGCAGCAGCCATGCAAGATTCTGCAGGGCAACAAATCTTTACCTGGACTTACGAAACCCACGTAGAAGTCATGAGAGGTTGGTGGAGCTGTATTATATCCGTTTTTTTAAGAAAATAATCTACTTCCTTTCATAAAAGAGACTTGAAAGTCAGGTATTTTCACACTTCAGGTATGACGAGGACTTTATTCATACGGGGGAGATTGGCGGACACTGCAAACTAAACAAACGAGCCTTGGTTGCTGAAGGAGATCACAAGAGTCCGTTGCAGTCTTGGTGAGAACAGCCATTCGTCACACTCAAACTCTCACTAACCTCAGGACATCACTTAGTCTGGGTTTCAGCCTTTCTTGTCGTTCTCCAGATTGTTAATTGAACCATTTGGGCAACCCTAGTACTGCCTCTACAATTCCTTGCATCAAGACCTTCAAATTCTAGCTTGCAACAACAGCTGATAACCTTAACTGACAGCCCAGCCAATGAGGGGATTAATCAGAGAAGCAGCTAAGAGGCTAAAGTAGAGATCAATGTCTAACTTAGAGATTCTACTCACAGGACTTTAGCTGTGCTCAACACAGAAGAAGAATGCCATCTTTTAAAAGCAAAGTCATAAGAAGTCTTATTTGCATTTTACCGCATGCCGTGTTGAAGGAAAAGGCAAAGATTACTTTTTTTTTTTTTTTTTTTTTACCACACATGCAAAATGCTTTATACTGCTATATATAGAGCAGTAACATTTCACATCACTCTGAACTAACCTGAATGTAAGGGTGGTACCATTACGGTGTGAGGAACAGAGAGAGACTTTAGATGTACAGGGAGGGAGCACTAATATGGTGTATTCATGACTAGTTAGAAAAGGTAGAAAAGCAAAATGTTCAGTTTCTAGGTGTGTAAAGCTTTTAGAGACATACCACAATATATCTGCAGCTTTAAATACTGAAAAAGGTTTCCCTTCTTAGTATTAACACAAGGTACCAAATACTTAAAAAATTCTGTTTTTTTACTATAATTTCAAATAATATCTTTTTTAAATTTGAAGTGTTTGGTTTGCAGTTGTGAAGGAAAAGAATGTGAAGAAAAAAAGGGAAGGATACTTTTTTCTGAAAGAACTTTGCTCCTTTTTAAACGGTGTGGGTAGAGAGATTTAATTTTGTCATTCCATTGTAATTGTTTTAAGAGCTAGACTGGATTTTCAGATACAAGTAGAAAATGCCTTTAAGAACTTTCAGTCCAATAATTGCACAACCTATTTGATCGATAAAAAAAAAAAAAAATGTTTTGCCTTTTAAGCAGCCAACAAGAAACGAGGTCCTAAGGGCTAAACGCAATTTCTGTCAGCACATACAAGTTAGCTGGGACTTGACAGGTGAAAATAGATTAATCATTTAGTGTTTTTGTTGTTGTTTTTTTATCTGTTGCTTTGCTGGTCATCACAGCACTCTTTCTTGAATTCTTTGTTTATATATCTCAAATGCATTAAGCACAATGAAATGCTGACTGGCTAATAATTTTCTTCTTTAAATTATAGTAAAACTGAGTCAATTTTAGTCCCAAATACGACCCAGTCATCTGCAATAACAATCTCCAGCTCTTGTACCTCCGTAAAGCCTGCTCCAGTTAGTTACGCTTGTGAGTTTGAGACAAATTGCAGCAGATGGACCCATAATTTTGGGTGTTGTCTGGGAGCCACCTGTTGACCCTCTAATACTCTGACAACATAAGTTATTTGAATAAAAAAAAAAATGTGTTCCCTGACCGGGAATCGAACCCGGGCCACGGCGGTGAGAGCGCTGAATCCTAATCACTAGACCACCAGGGAGCTGTGCCAATGTAGATGGCAAAGTAAAAATCGACCGAACTGTTGGCCTTACCGCAACAAAAAGTTGTGGCAAAAGTGGTCACACAAATCTGGACCTTAAAAAGTGTATAAAAATAAAAGAATAAGTGACAGAGTTAAGAAAATACACAAATAAAATAATGTAATGTACAGTGTTTTTACAATATAAATACTGAGTATCTGGAGAATAAATAATCAACATACAGCTTTGGACAGTTTTACAGTAATGGATATGTGTTATATGTTATTAAAGTGACTAAAATAGAAACTGCAAAAATCAGCATGTAACAACTTGTTGACAAGGAGCTCTCCAGTTCAGCAACAGCTTCATGCATAGAGCGGGAGACATTATCTAACAGAGATGTTATTTTAGTTAGGGTCTTGAGTCATGTAGTGTACAGGGGGTTACGAGGGGCGATCAGCCTCTCACAACCACCTCCCGATCAGGAATCGTGAGGTAGGGAGACAATCCCGACCGTTGTGGGCAAATCGCTCAGTGCGCATGCGCAAACAAGGATCCTTCTGTAAAAACAGCACCATGGCAGGGATATAATGAGTGAAATGCAGTTCTGTCTGTAAAATTGACAGACCGTAGTAGCAACGTTTGCTCAGTCATGTCTTTTTTCCTAATATGTCGTCGGCTTTTCTTTTCAGGGCTTTCAGCACAAAATTGCACAAATTGCCAAGGCAGTGCGTTTCACTCTAATGAGCTTAATATTCCCCTTCTATTTGTTTGGCTTCCAGATAGATGTGGGCAGTAGCTGCGTGCAAAGACTGAAAAAATCGCACAGTGTATGCCCGGCTTAAGGGTGAGGGTAACAGCAGGGGTTCTTGGCTTGGGGAGGAGTGGATGGCTGGTCGAATCTGTTGAAAAATGGGTTCAGATCATTAACCCACTCCAAGTCTCCAGCAGCCTCGGAGTTATGCTTTTGACCTGAGATGGTCTTCAGGCCATTTCAGACCCCTCTCTGCTGCAGTTGATCCTCCATGTTCTTCTTGTAGCTGTTCTTCCCATCCCTGCTTTTCTTGCTTAGTTCTTTCTGCACAGCTCTCAGTAATTCCTTGTTCCCTATTTTTTTCCCCCCAGCTTTTATTATCATTACACTTTCACAAGTACAGAGCAACGAAATTAACTCTGCATCAGTCCCCTTGCGGAGCACTGGGCTGCCATTGTGCGGGGCCCGGAAAGCAGTGTGGGGTTAAGGGTATTTGCTCTTAACAGCATAAGTTATTTAAATAATTATCACTCTGGATGCTTTTGGTGTTTACAAAGAAAATAACATGTTCCCTGACTGGGAATCGAACCCGGGCCGTGGCAGTGAGAGCGCCAAATCCACACAAATGTGGACCTTAAAAAGTGTATAAAAATAAAAGAATAAGTGACAGAGTTCTGAAAATAAACAAATAAAATACTGTAATGTAATGTACAGTGTTTTTTACAGTGACTCAAACTGGTCCTATAGTCACTCTATTACAGATGGAGTCATGTAACCAAAGTAATTTCACCCTGGGATTATTGAAGTATTTCTGATTCTAATTCCTGTTTGATGGGACAGGTGTTTTGAATGAAACGGTGTCCAGCTTGAAAGAGCTCCTGTGTGTCGCTGAATGTGTGCATTGATGACTGGAAGACATCTTCTGCCTCCATTTATCTGTTTACTACAGTCTGTTGAATTTATGTTAATGTGTATTTAAAAAAAAATTAAATTAGTGGAAAAACTTGCAGGGGGGAATATTTAAAAAAGTCTAATCAACCAAAACTTTTGCAACCACCATGGACCCGCTAGGGGTCGCGGACCCCTGCCCTGTCGAAGACCTCTGATCTAAAGGATTTCCTTTTCTCCTTCAGAGGTGCATTTGTCTAAGGATTGATCCATGGGTTGTTAGTTTGAAGATTTGATTGGTTTTATATAAGCGTACACTGACCTTAATTACATTGAACTTAGTGAGAAATCTAAATAGAGACAGTGTTGTAATAATAGTTCATCTATAGGTTTTGACAGCACTACAGTTATAAGGTGTGTTTTTTCTTTGTCAGAATTTGTATGGAAAGCTCTCTTATTATTTTTAAGATATTATGTTTTTCGATCAAACTTGATGCTCTGGTAAGAAAAATGAGTTTAAGTAAACAGATTGGCAGCAAAAAAGACAGTTTTACATATCATAATACTTTCACTCATATCATTAGTTTTGTGTGTCAGATCAATTAGTTTCACAGCTCGCCTGTGATAGAACTGTTTGTTCATTTATTAAGAGAATACGTAGAATGTTTGGATATTTACAAACTAAAAAGACACGAGCCAGCCAGGAGTCGAACCTAGAATCTTCTGATCCGTAGTCAGACGCGTTATCCATTGCGCCACTGGCCCTGTTGTGCAACCCCACCTCCGCAGCGAAAATAAAGGCCAGACCGCTGAGCTCATGCATCTCTCTTTGTCGGGGGAGGGGCCCTTTCCTGACTGAGTCGCAGCTCACATAACAAAGAGAAGCGATTTCCTGAAACCCTGAGGAAGTTTTACTTTGCCAAGGCATCAATGCCACTTCTTGCTCTTAAAGTGCTAAGTCATGTATCACTCTCATTTTTACGGGTCACAGTTTTGCTTTTGTGGCTCATAGCCAGTTACTCTTTCCTACTGAAGTGGTTGGAAGTTATGTTGAAATGCTGACACATTTCTGCAAAATTTAGAAATGTGCTGTTATGTGCTTTTGCCCAAATCTGGTTTTTGATTTTATTTAAGGTGCCAGGCAGATGTAGGCAGATGGGATTTTGAACGCTGACACCGAAATTGGAGGCTTTAAAAACCTGATATCTGATAAATAGGCTGATAAACAATAATGGCCCATGTCAAAATATATAAGCCAAAATATAAAAATTAAAATTATAAATCTAGACAAGCATAGCATATGCCCTTTCTAATTGTAGTCTAACTGAAATCCTTATAACCAAAAGATTGATTTAAGACAAAGAAACAGCATTATATAACTAGAAAAAGCTGTTTCGGAGAAACATCAAAGTGGGAATGCTTTTGCTGAATGAAAAAAGCTGAAATTAACTGCAGAACATATAAAAATGTGATAGGAAGTCATAAGAAACTTCAAACTGCAGAAAACAATTGAATCATCTGAAGATTTCGTAGGGTAGAATCATCTGGCAGTAAAATGGCAGAAACAAACTCATCTTAAAAGCTGCACAGTCAAACCATACATAATATCAAAAAATGTCTTGAATGTGTGCACTAGAAGGGTCTTAATATAATGTCTCCCAAGTTTCTAGAAAAATGTCTAAAGAAATTTTGAAGGGGGGCCACCTACTGCCCAGAAACATGTGAGGTGTGTTATGAATAGCAGCAACCAGAAAAGCTTAATTCCTGTCCAGAAAGAGAGCAGAATAAAGCCAAAGTTCACAACATAGGCTGAAAAGTATTAAATTAGCTGAATCAATTACAAAGAAAAACTTGAATCTTATCTGGTTGAAGAA